CTGGGGAATTCTGGGTGTTGAAGTCCACCCATCTTAAAGTTGCTGAGGTTGAGGAACCCTGCCTTAAAATTGAAACCATTTTTGCTATTTTGGGAGATATGAAGGAGGAAAAATGGGTAGCTTAAATATCCAGAATCTTAAATACTCTCTCAAATGCTGTGAAAGTGTTGGCTCTACCTGCTTAGTGACATCATGATGCCATGGCCACATGCCCTTGCAGTCCTTAGAAACACTTTTTAAGACTGTCTTCTCCCAGTTGCAGTAAAATTGCATACACCTACTTTACAACAAGAAACGTTGGCCAGCTCAAGACCTCTACTTCCCCAACCCAAGATGACCAATCAACCAGGTGAAGAGAGTCAGTTCTGAGAACACCCTTTCATATTTCTACTGATTTTTCTAATTTCCATTAATCACCAGATTACTTCCAAGTCAGTTAGAACATGACTGATCTCTCCACCCAAATGACACTCTAATACCAAAGCTTTGGCTTCTCTACTCACAAGGTCATATGAAGGAGCTCATTTGTTTCTGGCTTCCAAACACCACGCAGTAATTGCTCAAAGTTAGACATCAAGGCAACTCCAGAACCTACAAACACAGGAGAAACAGTGACACACTTGCAAACAAACCAGCAATGTGTGTGTGCAAGTGGAATTCCATTTTCTAAACTCACAGATAATTCCTGTCAAGGGCAGGTGACTTAATGCAGGAGAAAAACATTGAGCATCTTTGTGGTTACGCTCTCAGCCATAATAGCTCCTTTAAGAAAACTGGCAATTCCACCGATTATTATTATTATTATGAATAATAAAAGTGATGCCCATTTCTAAGTTCATTGTTAAAAACAAATTTGAAAATATGATGGTGATGCCACAGCCCCACCTTAAGTTTACTGAAGTTTGATCATTCTTGTTTCTAGCTGCTTTGAATTCTCTGAAGAAAAGCAGCATAGAAAAATGTAAAAATAAACATTTTGAATTTTTACTGTTTTGAATTCAAACAGTCTCGACCTCACAGCATTTTAGTGTGATGCAGGCTGTTTCAATCGTTTTGGAAACATGTCAAGTTCAAAGCATTTCTGTTTCCAGATCAAAACACTTCCCCAATAATCAAAACAGTTATACACCAAAAACAACTCAAAGTAGGGCAATTCAAATTACTTGAATTTGAAACACTGTGCACATCTTCATTTCAAAACAAGAAATACATAAGCTCTGCTCAGTGTCTCAGCTCTTTGATCATGGCTTGGTAGTACAGTACTTATTTTTCATTTAAAAGATCTCAGGCTTGATCTTGACATTTCCAGCTAAAACAAGAGACTAGAGAGATGCTACCGGTCACAAGAGAAAGTATTGAACAAGATGGACAAAGAATCTGGTCAGATATAAAGTAGCTCTCTATACTCCTAAGATGTGCTAATGGCAGAAGTTGGTATGGAGAAGCATTCCAGATTAGTGAGGAAGAGTTTCTTGGTAGAATTACCAGCCTGACAGATGAAGTCATTTACTAACAGAAAAAAGGAATGCGATCTTTTCCTTCTTGGCTCAATTTCTACACCAGAAGGGAAATGTCTATGAGTGGTAACAGATGCTTCACTCAGGAACCTCTGATGTGATCCCTATCATTGCTGTATCTAGCAGCCTGAGCAGTGCTCCTCTGGAAATAGTGCCTTTGCCTATGTATTACTGTGGGGAATTTGTGTCATTCCAGATGTTTATGACCTATAGTGCATAGCATCCCTCACTGCTGGACATGCTGGCTGGAAAAGCTAGAAGTTGTAGTTCGGCAACATCTGGAGAGTGATAGGTTCACCATCCTTGTTGTATGCAAGGAGATATTCTCTCCCAGCTGTAATGAACACAACCACTTGTCTTTCTCCCTGAGAAGGTGAGAAATCTTAGTCTAATCTGCATTTCAGCAGTTCTGATACTTGCCATTCCACCATCTTCTTGAGTCCCAAGTGGGATCACAATGCTGAAATTACAAAGCTTACCTTTGACAAATCCAATTATGACCATAATGAACCACCCATGGTGGTAATGATGGTGGGCATGATGAACACCAGCAGCAATCTTGCGAATTCGGACCACCTCTTTCATCGCCACAAAAATAAGCTTGACAGGCAGAAAGCTGACACATTTGTAAAATAGGTTCAAGGGGCAATAGAAGATCAGGTACCTGGAAAGCAATGCAGAATTAAAAGTAAGTTGTGATACTGGTCATTGGGTTAAAGGGGTTTAAAGAGATCTAACATCAACAATGATGACATTAAAAATAATAAGGGAGAGGAAAAGAAATAAATTTCAGCCTCCCATGATGGATGCTCTGTTGTTGACCTTAGAATGGCAATTCTTGAACAGATTGCAGCATGAAAAAACTAAATTGCTATTTATCAAGGTTCCATTCCATCTCTTCTGGTTTGTACAGGTAATCTTTTTTTCAATTGATTTACCAATGAAAGGTTGCCTCTTTTATCACCTAGCAAATGTTTTGGGCATGAACACATAATTATCGCTACCTGAACAATATATGTTTAATTTCTACTGACCTGTTTAGATTCTCCACTCCATAAGGAGATGTGGGGGAAAGGGGGGCAGCAGAGAAAATAATAACTTGTGCACCTTGAAATCATAATATAAATGATTTTTTATATTATGATTTCACAAACTTGCATTGGATGTCATTACACAATATACAGTATAATTGTATCATTGTGTAATGAAGTCATGACCCATATGCTATCATTTTAATGTCACTGTGGCTTGCAAAAGACATCTACACTCCATCTTCAACCATATGTCTGTCCATCTGTCCATCCATGCATCCCCTAGATGTATGGAGATAGATGGATAGATGATAGATAGATAGATAGATAGATAGATAGATAGATAGATAGATAGATAGATAGATAGACAGACAGACAGACAGACAGACAGACAGACAGACAGACAGACAGGGCGACCTGATAAGATAGCATCCAGGGCATAACTATTTATTCCATAACAACCATATTAGATTTTAGACAGCACAAGACTCTCAATTATTTCTTCTCATGTTAGTTTGGGAAGCCTGGGAGGAGAGGCCTTAGTATATCTCTCCTTCCTGTTTTGATTTCTGCTGTTTTCCTCAATCCGTTCTAACAGAAGAGGAAATATGCTGGAATCTCACAGCTTGCAGAAACCATTCATGCCACAACTGGAAAAGACTGTTTCTGAACCTGTACACAACTTGGTAATGGCAACAGTTCCTTCCGTCACCCAACAACAGCAGTGTGAAGCTAACCATTTAACAGCTTCTCTTTCTGGTCATGGGTCAAGCACATATATTAACCTGGAGTAATATTTATATCCATTCTGTTTTTAGAAACATGTCTTTAGGAGACCAACAGGGACTCTGGTGGAGAAGTGGAGTGCACCTCCTGGCTCTGCACTGGGGCCTAGTCCTTAGGTCACAGAGGGTGGCCTCACCAGACGGCTGTGGCCAGAAGTATGCTGGAGTTGTTGCTGAAGTAATCAACAGGGGCTTCTCCAAGCAGGAGATCAGCAAGGATGTAGCTGCCAAAGCAATACAGCATAGCACAGACCCAAGAGGCCAAGGGACTGTTCCGGGACAGCTCTACCGCACCTGCAGAGATAGGAGAAGGAGAAAACTGCTGTTTCAAATCCAGCTGTGCTACGATGAAAAGACCTTGAAACAACTTACTTCAATCCCTCACTTCTGGCTGCTTACTTCTGTGGTGAAGCCCTCTAGGAATTGGAAAGCTATTTCCCAGGAGAGAATTAACCAGCTTTCTCTCCACAGGAGTGTTCCTACTTAACTGCACATAGAATAGGGAGATCCCTTCTCAGCCCCACTTGGTAGACCAGGAAATCAACTCCACAGGAATGCTAAAACTATTTTTATTGAGATTGGCTATAAAGGTAGTCGTCACTTAACAACTGTTTGTTTAACAATGGTTTGAAGTTACGACAGCCTTGGAAAAGGTGCTTTACGACCTGTATTCGCACTTACGACTGTTGCAAACGATCACAACACCACCCTGCAGCCATGGATTCACAATTTGTGACCTTTTTTACAATGGCTGTTAAGCGAATCACATGATCATTAAGCAAATCACGTGACAGTTAAGCGAATTCCAGCAAAAAAATCCATTGGAGAAACTGGATTTGCTTAACGACCGTATGATTCACTTAATGGCCACATGATTTACTTAATGACCATCATAAAAATGGTCATAAAATTGGGCCTGGTCACATGGTGACTCACTTAATTACCATCCCACTTAATGACCAGTTTTACAGCCTCTATTGTGGTCATTAAGTGAGGACTAGCTGTAATAACAGAATTTTGCAAATCTGGTAGTGCTGTACCTCCTCCCCCTTCTTATACTCCAGTGATTCAGAGAGGCATCTCCCTGAGCAGCTTCCAAATGTTATTTCCTAGCTCTGGATGAGCTTAAAAATGTTTCATTGCCTTTTGCCAATGTAATGCACTGCCCTGCAATGAGATGGGCGGTGACAAATTTGAAATATGAATGAATGAATGAATGAATGAATGAATGAATGAATGAATGAATGAATGAATGAATGTTCTTGCATATTTCCACTAAGGTCATCTTCCTAATTCTCTGCATTCCCTTAGTCCCTTCTCTTTCTAGGGAGAAAACTGTTATTTAAAATCCAAGCCTCAGGAAGCTGAAGACTGAGGCATGGGATTGGAACCTCTGAAAAATGGTTGCAAATCAACAAGAAACGAGGAAGATCCAGGGAGGCAAAGGGGAACCTTTCTTCTAGAGCTCGGTGTGTCTCTAAGGCAATGTTTCTCAACCTCAGCAACTTTAAGATGTGGGGACTTCAGCTCCCAGAGTTCCCTATCCAGCATCCTAGGCAGTGTCTAGGATGGGGGATAGAGGATGTATCTGTACAAGCTTAAGATGGCCAATAAGTGCCATGTAGGGGGTCACCTGACTGCAGCACCAAGCAAATGGTTAGTGAAGTATGTCCAATTGCACTCATGCAAAGCCGCCATCACCTGTTACTTGCTTAAAGGGGAAGATGTTACTTTATTACTGGAACAGTTAAGGATGTCTCAGGTACAGGCTGGGGATGAGGTAAAGGCAACATAATGCAGACCCAGCCAAAAAAAGAGGTTGCCAAATCATGTTTGTGCCATGGTTCGGTACATGTGGGGAAATGCTCTTGGGCAAGCTACTCTAACATTGGCATTGCTGTTTTCTGTCCAGTGCCCACCACCAACACAGGCCTTTGTTCTCAAGCAAAAGAGTCATATATAACTTTTATGCTGATTTGTTTAAAATACAGTATTTAACTCTATCACCTTATGGCACAACCCAAGGATGTTCAGCCTACACATCCCAGATGTTGACAACTGCCATCTTTGTCAGGATTTTCTCATGGGAAAGAAGTTCATCCCATTATCTGTACAACAATATTATGG